AGTGTCACAAACGGGAATAAAGATTACATTTTCACCAATTGCAAAGATTATAATCTGGAATGGACCGAGGAATTTCGGGTTCGACAAGGAACAAACGGAATGAGAGAAGGAACGGAGAAAGGAATTTAAGAATGAGCCGATCAAAGATTACGAAAAACGTTCAATTTGTGTAATCTTTATTCCCGTTTGTGACTCCATGAGGGGTGTTGTCTTGACTCTCAGTATAAAGGGACTCTAAGGGCCGTTCCTGTCAAATCATTCAACTAGTAGTTGACTGTCTGTTAAGGTTCAACTAGAGGTTGGTGTGTCTTGTCAATTTACAACTACTGGTTGAGAGGCTGTTAACGGGCTGATTTTCAACTGGTGCTTTTTCTGCCTGTTAGGATTCAACTAGGACTTGAGACAAAACATTCGTTCCGGTTCTTCGCGTTTCACTGGTTCACAAAGAGCCTGATTTAACTACCTGGGCTCGGTTTGCGGACCCCGCCACCCGCACCCTCCTCTTTGCAGGGGTTGTTCTGTCCTCTCGTTCAACTGCTAATTGAATTTTCGGCAAGGGTTCCCAGACATTAGAAACAACCTGATGAAGGATATGAGGGAACAAATCATGTTAATGCACTATTTGGCAAGTAGTCTTTGTTCAGTAACTAGAGGTTGAAAATCAGTGACAAGACTCTCCTTCAGGTCGAACTGGAAGTTACCTTTAACTGGTAGTTCGTCAACTAGCAGTTGAGACCCGATTTGACAGGAACGGCCCTGAGACAACCCAGCGGACGGTATGGGAACATATTCACCGAAGACTGATGACGAATCGGCAGCCCTGGAGTTAAACCTTTCGTCGCGGCTAAACGCGGTCTCTTGGGCCGCGCAGTAAAACCTTCGCCTCCGAATTTATTGGCTTTGCACTCAGCGACAACCCTTCCCGCCCCCCCCCCCTCCCCACCGGAGGCCACACTTCTCAACCTTTTTTCCTCCGAGTCTTCCTCTCGCTGATGGGTTTAACATGCGAAGGATTCCCGTTTCGAGCGACCACACTTAGTCGGGAATTTATTCAGCGGTGAACGTCCCCGGGGAAAAGTCTGAACGAAACGAATTAGCGAGAACGACGTGTTTTTCAGATGAGTTCTCATTAGCCCAGACCTTGTTTCAGCCCTGTCTATTCTGCTCTCGCAACTGAAAACATCCTCTGTATGTCCACCCGCGGACTCATCGTTGAGATTAATAGACAAAGCTATAGACAAAAGAAGCCATAGGGAGCATGGAGCGAGCCTATTGGTTAATTTGTGTGGTTCTTATAGACTAGGTAAGGGAGAAAAAGGTTGACTAACTATCGGGTCTCTTGTAAGTTGCCGTCAGTTAGTACCTACCTATGTCAATTGCAATCACTCTTTCGCCAATAGGATCCCTCCATATAATATTTGTCTTCTTTGTCTATAGCTTTGTCTATCATTTTCAACAATCAGCCCGCTGGTTTGACGAGGTAAGTAGGTATGCACTTCCCAACTTCCTCGGTCAGAACTCGCCTTCAAGTCCCGCTGGTACGAAATTTAAATTTCAACAACTTTTCAGTCTTGACCGAAAACATATGCGGCTGTTTGCTGTCGATAAAAATGAACGAAGAGCTACCTCGCCAATAGCAAGTGGATTTTCATTCTTATAGAATTGTGTGCACAGATTTTGTTCACTTTTATCAACAGCAGACAGTCATATTTGTTTCCGACCAAGATGGATCGAGTACAGGGTAGAATTTCATGAGCGCCGCCGCCCGAGGCGCACTATATGCTCCAAAACTCAAGAGAAGGTAGATATTAGTCGGATGATGTCTGAAAGATCACGAAAGTTTCGTAACAGATGTTTTTCGGAGTTGCTAATTTCGAATTTGATGTCAAATTGCCTGCATTTTAACACCCTGATCCACCATTGTGGGCAAGTTTATGGCGCGCTGCCAGCTCGAAACGCGCACTGACGCCTGCAAACCTAAAGGGATACTTCAAGCACTGCGCCATGCGTGAAGTAGCATTTTAGGTTTGTAAACCGAAAAAAATAATATGCTGTTTTAGCATTTAGGATGTCAAAAATGTGTCTGGTGATCCCAAGATGCTGCTTTTACTGCCCCCGCAGTTAATTTTACATCCTGTGAATGCAAATTCAACTGAGGGGGCAGTAAAGGCAGCATCTTGGGATCACCAGACACATTTTTGACATCCTAGATGCTAAAACNCCCCCCCCCCTCCGACGCACAGTGCGGCCCTCTGTGGACAAAAATCAAAATTTCATAACTCGACATCTGAATATTTTTTTTTGAGTTTGTCATCTTAAAAATATTTCTGACTCAGATATTCAAGAAACACCATTTAATTGCCATACTTAATTCTCAGGCTGAAAATCTACAAATGTAACCATTTGAAGCTTCAAGCAAATCGGAACCGTTTCTATGGCCGTGGAATGAGTGAGAAATCGTCATGATAGACGCGCGCGATTTCTGGTGCGATGACGGTAAAAGTTTTGAAACGGCTTGTTTTGCTTCCGGGTTCATTTTTTTAAGGTTTTCGGAAACGCAACTTGCTGACGAAAGTTTGTTTCAGCGCTGTAAGAAAAATACTCAATGCCAAGAAACCCGGCCTAGCTATTGTTTCCTAACGGTTCCGTTTTGTCGCACAGTGGACTTCAAATTGGACGGAATTCTGCCAAACGGAACTATGTGCATTATGACGCGAGCCTTGTTATGCATAAATTCTTATGAGTCTCAGGGCTCATGTCCTAATGCACATAGTTCTGTTTGGCAGCAATACGTCCAATTAAGGAATGCATTGGTTGAACAGTTTTGATCGGAATCAGCTTAAGTTCATCAGACGTTGTCCAATTTTCTTTGATGTTTTAATTTTTATTTTTCAATCATAAAACGAAGCCATGCACACCGAAACTTGGAATTTTGTGTGCATATTCTACCTGATCTACGGTTAGTTCTAGTATATTCTAGTTCTAGTAGTTACTACGCACGATATATAACCGAACTTTTCCTCCTTAAAATAAATGTTGTACCTTAAAAAATTTGGTAACATACAAACAACCTTAACTTTTCTTAAAAACATATACGCGAATTTTCGCGATCGAATGTCATTTACCGTTGAATGATATGCGACGATTGTGCAATTTTTTAAAATAATATCCGACTATTTCGTTGATCCCACCGGAGACAGTTAAAATCCATCAAACAGAAATTTCGAATTCACAGGACAAAAAAAAAAAAAAAAGCGGGACTTGAATTCGATTTTTGAATTTATGCAATCGATGCCGGAAACTTCATCCTTCACCAGAATTTTTGTATCGTCATTTCTTCCTGTTTTTGCGTTTTGTCAATCCAAGTCTGCTGCTATTGCAATTGGCTGTGTTTTAGGGTTTCGTGTTTCCGTATTTTTTTCTTAATTTCATTAAAAAAAAATATATAAACTCTGATTGGCTCCTGCTCTCGCCGATAATCGGCATCACCCAGCACTGATCAATCCGTTTGATGAATGATATCCGATCGCGAAAATTCGCTTAATGTTTTATCAGCAAATATTTGCTAACACTTGAACGTTGATATGAGATTTTCCTTTCGTGCGCACGATAGATAACCGAGGTTTATCCCCTCCCGTGGAGCAGTGATTCGATGCCGCGTGTCGATTGGATCTTGTCCCAGGAAAACGAACTCTGGAAATCTAGAATCGCGGGGAACCAATAAAGGGAGGAAATTCGTCATCCCTTACAAAGTCTGCTCTGTTTCAGTTCGACGGCGGCATCCCCTTGCGCGTTTCCGCCGGAAAGGAGCGCCAAACAGACGAATCCAATGGAGAGATAATCCTTAAACCTTATCGGAACATCCCAAAGGGTGGCTCTAAGTCTCGGGCGCAGCTCAAATCCACGACTCGAGACTCCAGGTGAATTCTGCCGTGCTAAGGAAGAACGCCGTATAAACATTCCAGAGTTGCCAAATTCTCCTTCATAAAACGTGTATTTTTGACGCAATTCACTCATATTTTTCCTTGAGAATTTCAGATATCTTAGATTAAATTGCGTACCGAATTGTCTGAAAATTTTGGGGGAAAATATTTACAATTTTCCCAGTAAATTATGTTTTTATCGAAGGAAATTCGGCAATGTCTAAATACTAATACGGCGTTTTTCCTTAGCAAGACAGAATTTCCCTCAATCTTCAAATATAGATTTTCCCAGTGTTCCTATTTTCTGCAACTAGTCCCGAATTTCGGGGAACTTTCGACATTTTCCGGAACTTTTGCAATTTACGAAATTCTAGCTATTTTAAGGATTGCCCGCAGTAAAATTTGGGTTTTCCGTTAGCTTGACCAATTATTCGATCAAATCTGATGTTCACTTTTTCTTATTTGACGATCCGGGCGTGTTTTAGAATGCTTTCCCGGAATTTGTGATATAATCAGATTTTTTCTCGAAACGTCTGGAAATCAGAACTAATTTCGGGAACTCCGGAACCTCCGGCAAGATAAAATGGGAAAACTGGATTTCCCGCGAAAGGGATGTTACCTCTGTGCATGGTTCTCTCTCATGTCTCACTGTGGGGGAAAAGGGGGATGTAGACTCCAATGAATTGGAGTAAAAGCAAACTCATTTTTGACGTCACCATGGGTAAGACACGACCCCCCCCTCCCACAAAAAGGAAAAATAGGTGATTTTGGGATAATTTTTTACAGTCACTTTGCGCGTCATCTTCACTGGATACAGTTTTGATCGTAAATATCCAAGAAACAGTGAATCCATCAAACACATGTTAAAGAACAAAATGCACTTAATTTTAAATTTACAACTGGAAATGTTGAAAAAAGAGACTACGTAGAAGAGGAATAACTTAGCTTAAATCCCTTCGGCATCCTATACACATTCCATGGCCCCTGAACCCAGTTGGAACAAAAAAACACTTTTCTTGGTTTTACTCACCATTGATTGATGCCAAAATCGATTGCTAATTTTCATGATTGAAGTGATAGAGCTTTAAGTCCACTGTCACCCAGCCTGAAATAAAGAGATCGAAAAAATGTATACAACACGAAACTAAAAATAAAGACACATTTTGATGGATTTTCTTAAAAATATAATAAATACATTATTTTGAATATCCCCAAAACTGGATATCTTGACGGACCAGTAGTTTTTTTTGTATCAAAGGAGCCATTTTCCATTGGTTTACTCTCACTAAGAGTCAAAATGTTGATTGCTGGAGAGTAGACAGACATCTCCTCGTTATCAAATTAGTATGCCACTAGGGGCCTGTGACCAATACGCGACCGCCAACCTCTGAAAAAAACTACGTGTAAAAAATCGTATAACGAGCATGTTCAAGTTATTTAAGAGATGAATGCATTCAAGTGCCGACGGGTGCTCGCGAAAGAAAACGTATTTATCTCTGATTGCAACATTATGCACCACTTTTATGTTTTATTTTAAATCGATGTTTTTAAAAAACTACACGCAGTTTTTCTAAAAAATTTCCGCGAATTTCCTTATATGATCAAGCATTCCCTTACAAAGCATCGGAAATTTCGACCGCAATATTTTCGCGGTTTTTTTTTTTTTTTTTTTTTTTTTTTTTTTTGTAACCAAAAAAAATTAAACATCATCCGAGTTTCTGAATTGTTACAATGAGGATACATATTTTCCCTTAAATTATGGTAAAAACCGGAGTCAAGAATGATGACTTGTATAGTCTTAAGGTAGCAATTCATACACGAATTCTCAATGACTGGAATTATCAAAATTTCGAGACAGCGACGGAAAGTAGATTAGCCGATGGGCGAAGTCGGCATGAAATTTTCAATGAAAACTGGCAAATTTTGATGGCTATTTCGTCTGAATGACGAGTCGATGAGGTGCAATGAGGGATATTTGCATTGCATTTTGCAAGAAGAAACCAGGAGCAACGCCATATGTTGCTAAGATTATGCAACTTCACCATTTGCAATAAAACTACTGAAATCATGCAAAAATACGAAATTTATATGATAATTCCTGTTTTAAATTTACAGATTTTAACGTGTATAATAGAAAATGTATATGAATGATCAGGGTTTTCCTCCAAGACAAAAATAGTTACAAAATCTTAGCACCATTGCAATGCTCTTGGTTCCTTTTTGCAAAGTGCAATCCATTTAATGATGGGAAAGTTAACAGAAGGCAGGAAAATCTTCACAATCCTGCGAGGATTGCAGACTCACGATGTAAACTGGTTGCATATTGTGCCCACCGCGCCGTGGGTGGTAGGTCTACTGACACCGAGAAATCATAACAATTCAAGCGCTATGCGCGCAATGCGGGAAGTATTCCTCACGCCGACTGCACTGTTTTGCGCAATGCGCGAAGTATTCATCCAGTCTTGCAGGCGCTGATATGCGTTCATGTGTATGCGTATTGCGTAAATTCTTGCGCGATTATTCGAACTAGCGATAGGATAATCGAGGCATCGAATAATGAGGCTTAAAAGGCCAATGTTGTGTTTCGACGCTGTACGAGCATTCCAACGTTGCCTCGTTTCTCGGTCAGAGTACATCATCGTAACAAGTAAGATTTTCCTCGTAAGATGTCAGTCATTACTGATGGCATATTACGAGTAAAACTTTAACTTTGAGTATGGCAAAAACCTTTTAAACTCAAATTAAGTAACTGCATGCAAATTTTTTGTAATGATTAAATCTTGTTTTTCATTCTCTGTTATTTCGCTTTGTTCATATCTCTTTTTATTTCTCAATTATCTCTAAGTCGCCCTCGTTTATGTGTGTGATTGTTTCATCGTCAGCAACGTATTTATGCCAAGAACAGTCTATATTGTATTTAAACTTATACCTCGAGTTTATCTGCCTTTTGGACCTGCCATTGTCGCAATTTCGGTAAATATGACCCCCCTGTCTAAAAAAATAAAATAAATTAAAAAAAAATAAATTAAAAAACACGAATGAAAACTCAACGCCTTTATCCGAGAAAACAGAGAAATTCTAACAAAGCGTATCATGGGTGTATGATATGCTAATTGCCATTTAGGGCAATGGCGTGGCGTGCTTTGCGATATATCGATTGATCTGCTATTTAAACCAATGGAAAAGGATCGATAAACAGGGTGTTCGCAACGAACACCCTAATGGTCGATTCTTTACCATAGCTTCAAATGCGGAAATATCGAAAATCGATCATTCACGCCTCGCCACTGCGAGTTATCTACATGGAATCCTTTGAACCGCGGAAATAAAACCAAGCACAAAAAATGCGCCATATTTTAGCGTCCTATTAATGAAAATTTCACCTGAAAGTCGAGTTGTTATCATTTCAGGTTAAAATGACGAAATTCTCTCTCGTGCCCGGCCTGCTCTTATATTATCTATTTCGCTTCAGAGAAATGAAATTATCCACGATAAAAAAATCACTGTCGCATGAATAAAATACGAGACCATCCTATCCAGCCGTGCTGCCGTGATAACGAAGAGAGTATAGTAAATGCATTTCTGCATGAGCCATGGTTAGCACATGCTTTTATGTGTTTCGAGGCTCATCCCAGCATGCGATTACTGCTCTGTCGCTATCGCGGCAGCGTGTGTCCTCGGTCGCCAGGTAACGCATAAAATATAGGACTCGTGATTGTATTTGATCTGAAGTTTGAGAGAGAATAAACGCGTTATGAAAATTTAAAAAAAGGTGCTTTCATGTTGATGAAGTTATCAAATATGAAGCAGAGGATACTATGTGTTACTGAGGTAAATGGACGTAGAGAGCCATGGGAAAAATTTGCACAGTGACGCTTTTACCTTTGCACCTTGATTCTAATTTCTAATTTCAAGCCAGATTTTTAATTCTTAAAGAATTTCTCAATTTTACTGGTATTCCTGAGATTTCCTCGATTTCACTTGTGAAGTCAACCATCTAATTTTTCCTCTCAGAACCAGACACAGCAAGTAAAATAAGTAAAACTTTCAGCGTTTTGAAATTTTAATGGAACTAATGTGCAACACTTGATTATGTCTGTTTTTGACAGGAATTCAATGCTCCCGTTGGTATCACTGCTCCTATTGGCCACACAAACGGCCAATGGAAAAATCGAGGTGGCCGTTGGCCAATCCGAGTACAGAACTTTCTGCCACACGGAGGCGCCTCACTACGATTCGGCGAGCCAGAGCCTTTTCTTCGTCGACACGTACGTGGGAAAAGTTTGTCGTCATCATCTAAAGTGGAATGCGACATATTGCACTTGCTCTCTCGGTAGGTGTCCCGTCCTATTGAGCAGACACGAGATAAATTGGAGCGTCAATGTGTCCATAGACCAGAGAACTCAAGTTCTACAAGACAATATTTCTTCTCCAACTTTGATATGGAACACGTTGGACGTTTGAATAACATCTCAAATCAGCCAATAAGAGCCTAGTTGACTTTGCTGTTCTTCTTAAAGTTAGCCCTTTGAACAGTGGCGTGACGTGCTTATATCTATATAACAAGGTGGAGAAATGGTACTGAGTCCACACCTTTCGCGGGAAAAACAAAGCTAAAAAGCTCAAAAAATTATAATTATTAGAGTCTCAAAAATAAATGGGTTAATTCTAATGAGTACCAGTGCAAAACTGAGGGGGGAGAGTGTTCAGCTCATGCAGGCAGTTTGCATTGAAATGTTAAGTTGAGGTCACCGTTTTTTCGATAGAAGCGCAAGATTGAGACTTTTAGACTTAATTAATTATTCTTCATTAATTTTATATAATTAATTTATTTTATTTATCAACACAGGGTAATGTGATCAGCGAAACTTGCCCTGATACCACCGGTCCACGCGTTCACTGATAAAGACGTTAACAATATCTCTGAGCAAACTTGCAGCTCAAAAAACGCCTGAAACTGACTGCGTAGGCAACATTCACAACAGTGGAACACGAATAGTTGCTCACTGCGCTGATACCAGTATCCAAGAAATTCAGCTATCAAAATTTGAGTATTTGTATGTATGCTGTCTGGCTAAGGAAGAACGCCGTGTGAACATTCAAGAGTTGCCGAATATCCTCTCAGAAAATAGTTATTTTCGAAGAGAGTTACGAATATTTTTCTTTGAAATTTTCAGGAACTTAAGGTGAAATTGCGACTTTCATCTGAAAAATTGTAGGAAAACTCTTTACAACTTTTCCCGCAAATTCGTGATTTACCATAGGAAATTTGGCAACGCCTGAAGGTTCATACGACGTTTTTCCTTAGCACGGCAGTATGGAACACGTACATAAAAACAAAGTGGCGTAACGCTTTCCTCGAAGCTTTTCCCCCTCCCCCACCCCTCTCCCCTAGAACGTTACGTAATTTATGGGCGGCTCCTTACTTTTCTTACAATTCTTCTTCATTTATTTACAGACCATGTATTAGGCTCGGTAGTTCCGGTGTCGAACCAGCCGGACTGGTACATAATTGGACTCGGGCCATACTCGGCGAAAATGTATTGGGACGGCTACATTCCCCACGCCGAGGTCCACATCCTCGGCCGCCACGACGAAGACGCTGGGGCTGGGACCGTCTTCAACGATGGCAAAGCTGACTGCGCCCAGAGGCTATTCATGGGTAAGCTGCGATATATCGAATGATCTACCATTCAAACCTATGGAAAAGGATCGATAAACATAGAGCCCCTTTATACTGAGAGTTAAGACAACACCCCCTCATGGAGTCACAAACGGGAGTACAGATTACACAAATTGAACGTTTTTCGTCATCATTGATCGGCTCATTCTCAAATTCCTTTCTCCGTTCCTTCTTTCATTCCGTTTGTTCCTTGTTGAACCCGTAATTCCTCGGTCCATTCCAAATTTTGCAATTGGTGAAAATGTATAATCATTATTCCCGTGTGTGACACTGTGGAGGCCTTAAATATACGGCAACCAATCAGAAATGGATGCACATTGTCTTAACTCTCGGTAAAAAGGGACTCTAGATAAACAGGATGTTGGCAACGAGCACCTTAATGGTCGATTCTTTAACATAGCTTCAAACGGGGAAATATCGATAATCGATCATTCGCGCCTCGCAACTGGGTATAAGTCAAACTTCTTGAAGCGAAGAGTAAATAAAAAGTGAGATACGAAGAAGTGACTTATGAGGGGTGATAATAACCAAATCTTCGATTATTCTCACGCTGGGGGTTTCATTTTCGTTCCTTGAATAGCTGTTGAGGGTCCATTGTGGTTTGAATCAATGGCCAAAGTGCCAAATCGTGCTGTGCGAAGGAAGAACGCCGCATGAGCCATCTGGCGTTGCCAGATTTTCTCTGCTAAGATATGAATTTTCAGGTAAATTTATGAGTATTTTAACCGAATTTTTCAGAAAATGTTATTCGTCATCAGATCTTCTGAAATAATCACGAGAAAATATTTGTAACCTCCCCAAAAAGAAATATTTTATCGGAGGAAATTTGGTAACGCTCAAATTGTTTACACGTCGTTTTTTCCTTAGCACGATAGCCTTATGGTAATTCAAAATTTTCACTATTGCTTTATTTTTATTTTTTTTTTTTAATTTTTTTTTTTTGAAGAGAATTAGCCAACTTAATGGCTTGAAAATTAAACATAATATTCTACTAACAGAGAATAAAAAATTAAGGCGATTTTCAAGAACTTCTGTTGATTAGTTTTTCAAAGAATATAAACTCATTTTCCCGCATTTTACTTAACTCATTTAAAACTCATTTCACTTTTCACACTAGAATATTCCGTCTTTATTTCGTTAAGGATATCAAATGGAATTTTGAAAGCATCTCACATTGGAGCCTTTTCCCACCTAACTATTAGAATGATATGGGTTGGAGGTTGAATCTTCTACTTTGAGTGGTGTGAATTATTCTTTTACAGAGAGAAATCATCTCTTACCGAGGAGTTAAGTCCGCTCTTTCAAAGTAACGCTGGATTATACCGCGAGGTTTTAAACAGTGTCAACAGACATATTTGTTCTTCACGGTCAATCATGGAAAGTTCACAGGGGTTTGAGGGGGGGGGGGTCAACA